ACCCCGCTGGCCGCTCGACTGTCGCAGGCCAGCAACGCCAGTTCCTCCGAGGCTGCCAGCTCCCTCCCTGGAGACACCAGCCTCCTGCTGTGCAAAGGCTGTGACTATGACCCCCAGCCGATGGGGATTGACAATCCGTCCTATGACAGGTGCACCGCCGGTGATCACGAGGGTCAGAGGGCACCAAGTTTTTACAATATGATACCCTCTGCACCTGTTTAGCTCCAGAGGTACATTCTTAACTTCCGTTGTGCCACTTCAAGTTAGGGTACTGCCAGTTTTGGGCCAGTTAGGTACTTAACTACATTATGGTATGGTATTTTGCTCACACAAAGTTCCTGCATTGAATCTGTGACAAAAACTGTTTTGTTTTATACACAGCTTAGGAAATACAAATAGCTGGTCAATTTGTGCTTCTCATTCTAGTTGAGCTCAAGTAAATTCAAGTTTTCAAGGATGCAAGATTATTGGTGGAAAAGTTGAACGAATGAAATTTCTTGCATTGAAATTATCTTGTTTGGCCATAGATGAAAACAAGCCATGCAGGGAGATGCAAACATTTTGTTTTCTTCCATCATAAGTGGCGCTGTTGATATCTTCCCCAGTGTTACGGTCATAGGTCAAATGTACAACACACTCATAGCACGCACGATACCATTGGAGGTTCGTACGTTTGACCTGTGACCTTTAGAGGGAGTGTGCAAAATGCTTTTGCTTCTATATTCAGATTTTACTGACATCCACATGCATACTGAAGTGGATGATATTTAATCGACTGGTATCGGTGTTGCAGTTGCGATCATCACATGACCAGTCACAGGTTTAACAGGGTGAAAGGTGACACAGGGATGATTTTGTTGCAGGTCTTTTGAATAACTAAGGGCTTGAATCCAGGAGCGTGTTCAATGGCACGATACGTACGCTGGTATTGGCATACCCAATACGTGTATACCTCTATTATTCGTGGTGTGCACACTCAAGCAAAGTACTGTGTAATTGACTGTGCCCCAGATGTGATCTTGTGATGGTCTTATGATGGCCTTGTGGGGGTCATTTGATGGTCTTAAGAGGTCTTCAATACATACAGTGTATATAATCATATATCGGAATGACGGTGAGACGGTTACAAACGGTGAAGGAGCATTATTTGCCTTTTTTCCCCAGGGAACAATTTAACAGCGACTCCATTGTAATATATTTTCTTAGCATCAGATATACTGTTCAGATGTCACTTTTTTGGACATTCAACCGCTGTGCCTATGTTGTATGTGTGTGTGAACTTAACTTTGTGTAAACCGTCCGCAAATCACTTGGTAATGACTCAGAAGTCTGGTATGATAGGCATGCTTGTCTTGAATGCAAGCACTGCAGATCACAATAGAAATCAATGCTCGTTAGGGTGGAAGGTCATGTTGGTTGGAATTTATCGTCGTTTCACCTTACTTCATTACATCCTTCGAACTGTTATTTGAAGCAGTGAACCATTTGATCGATGCTGACGATGCTGGGTCCATGCAAAACGATCAAGCCCTTGAAGTCAGTCGCACCAGAGTCACACAAGTCCACACAGGTCCTCACAGTGCATTCACAAGTCCTCACAAAGCACTCAGAGGTCCTTGCAATGCAGTCACAAGTTCTATATTACAGCCCATCCAGTCTCAAGTCAGTTACAGTTGCCACAAGTTGTACATATAAATTAAATGTATGACATGGGCAGTTCTTTGGTAGTGTTCATCTCCTGTTAGCTTTTGCCCTGTGGTTTGACTCTTGAAGGAGATCTGACTTTAGATCTGACTTTGGAGTGACTTGCTGCTTGAGTTATGATTGGACTAGGACTTTGACTTGTCTGCAACTCTGTGTTGTACTGACTGACTCCAAAAATAAAATGTTAACCATTTATGTCTGATAAACATCTCTGCATGTATAATATATTTGGAGAATCGTGGAAAACTTTAGAATCCAGACAAAAGTAGAACAGCCAGTATTCCTGGGGTGGCTTTCCCAGCATTCTGTATTGGGGTATGCTTCCTCAACATCAAATAATCAGGGTTAAATAATGACATGTACATGTATCACGACATTATCGACATGTTTTGTCTTGTAATAATAAATTGTTAATCATTTATTTATTTGAAACAAACATGCCAACATTTCTTACCTTGCCGAGTCCAAAGATCAGTATACTTCAATATACTTCTCTTCATGTGAAAAAAAAATTAACACATTAGTATGAAATGTGTACTTTATCTCAAAAATATGCTGAAAAACACTGTTTTGGGTGTAGTGTGATGTGTATTGTTTGTGTGAGTGAGCGTTTTTGGACTTCCCTAAGCTGTCTTTAAAATAGTTGACAAGTTTTTACGTGCATTGACTTGCATGTGTGAAGAGGCTGTTTGCACTATTCAATACAGGTACATGTACATTTTTTTCTCTGTGGTTCTTGTAAATAGGTACTGTTGTAACTGCATATATATTTTTAAACATGATGACTCTTTGTACACTTTGCACTTGTGTTATGGGAACTTAAGTACACGAATATGTATCATCGCCAAAGAAATGCCCTTTTCAAGTATATTTTATGTGCACCGGGATATTTCCTTTTTTGCCAACATAAATTAGTTTACTCTGTAAAAACACCATTTACCTGTATTTGTTGAGAAATCAGAAACTGTTGTTAATTGAAACTTGACTAGAGATTAAGTAGCCCCTGCCTTTGCAAAACTGGGTAAGGCTCTGTCCGAATTACACTCGGCTGCAGTAAGAAATGAACAGTCAAGGACAGATGTTTGCAGCCACTAACTGGGCCCAATTTCACAGAGCTGCTTAGCAGAAGAAAAGTCATGCTTACTGTAGCCTAAAATTTGGCTAACCTGAAGCACTATTTCATAGCTGTGCTTGGTCTTGGGCCTACAATTGGATGTGCATAGAGATATTTATTATCATCAGTAAGTCAAGCAAAGTTTTCCTCTGAGGTAAGCTTGCCTTCGGCTATGCTTATTATTTACTGTCGCCATGAAATATGCAAAGCCTCCGTTAGTGTAATTTCATGTGCTTAGTAGAACTATTGAATTGGGCCTAGTAGACTTCTATAGGTAAATATGTTAGCCATTTGCAATTTATCAGGATGCAGCCTATCTTTACGTCATTGCACATTGTGATTGAAGTGAAAATCATCGTCAGTTTTTAAAGTAAAGGTGAAACCAATGATGTGGTTAAGACTATCAATGCATGCATTGTACAACACCCTAAAGAGATGACTAGCCATTGCACTTTTCTATGTATATGCATTATGCACCATATATATTAACCTGTTGTCATTTTTTTGTTTTGTCCGGGTTACTGTAGGTCCTGGTTTATCCTTATGTAGCATATTGTTATTGATTTTGATGTGAAATGTTTTGGTGATTTCAAAACATGTAACAGTGTCGATGCACTTTTAAATTCTAAGAGTTGAACAAATATGATTACCAATCACACCAAAGACACTCACAAATTAATTGCATTTAATGGTAAGATTTAGCTGATCTCTAGTCTTTGAAAATGGCCTTTGTGTTACTGAACTAGCCTTATTTCTATTTGCTGGGGGGGTGTGTCAGAGTTCAATTGTTTATGTTATCAGTACAAAATCCTAGACCAAATGATGTGACAGTACTGGTTCTTCGTCCAAAGACACAAAATTGTGCAAGGAATTGAAGCATTCTTTTTATGTACTTTCAAGTAAAGGTTCATAATGACAGTAACATTCCTAAGTTATAACCAAGATTCGGTTGGTATCCTACATTTTTTTTTCTTCTAAATTTTGACTTGGTGTGACAATTCCTCATCCAGAACAAATTTCAGATGTTGAGCTTTTTTAAATTTTCAGCCTAAAGAATCAGTCTCTTGCAAATGCAAGTTGTATAACTTTTGTAAAAATTGAACTACATGTAGTTTGGTTTGGTTTGTTTTATTTGTTTTAGGTTTGGTTCCTTTTTTTAGACAACTAATGTCGTAATACACTGCCTCTTGCCCAACTTTAGAAGAAATCTATGATTGTTGTTTTGATTTCATTATTTAGTGTCTAGTGAAGATTTAGCATTTGATGTGTCATATTTTTTTATAACCTTGCCAATTCTAAGTGAAACTCAAGTCACTGGTGTCAGAATTTGACTTTATTTACACAGAATCATGGTTATGTTAGCCAGAGTTGTTTTCTTGAATTTATTTGCTTTTTTAGCTGTTAATTTGACTTTTGTACCCAGGAATTGAATGGTTTGTTTCATTTTAAATATCTAAGACATAATTATGGTTTTGGAGTTATGTGAACAAATATTATACTTTAGAAGTTGTTAAGTTTAATTTTCATTTGTTTTTAACTTCAAACAACTAAAAACTGAACAATCCTGATCCATATTGCCAGAATAAAAATATTTATTTTCGGTGTGCTACCAAATGTTGTGAAGGATTTCTTTATTGAGTGTTTCTCAGAATTGTACTGTCATGTATCTACCCCATGTTTGTCTCTAATTTTGCCTTTTTTGTTAGATCATGTGTGGCTTGTTTTATTATCTGATCGTTTGTCCTTTTATTGGATTGTATGACTGCTTGTTTAATGAATTTTGTGATGTCTCAAATGAGGTCATCTTTTTAAAAAATCCTGTGTCGTGCTCCTTTGCCATTTGCTGTCTTATCTTCAGCTGTCATGCCTTAACCATCTTCACTGTTCTGGAAAGTTTGCCATCCCCTCTAGTTCTCTCCCATTTTGAGTCTGCCCTTCACTTTCATCCCATCCTGTGCTGTCCTGTCTCATTTCATGCTGTACATTACCCTCTTGTCCATCCCATGTATGAAATCTGGTTTTCATTTTGTCTTTTGTCTTTTGTCATCACTGTGTCTAGTCTCGCTGTCGCTTTTATATCCTACCTGAAGCAGTCTTGTCCCATTTGAGGCTGCTTTATAAGCTGTTCCATCAATTCTTATGCCATCTTATCTTATCCAGCACCATCTTGTCTTTTCCCATACCATTCCATCTCATGTTGTCCTGTGTCATTTAGTTTTGTGGCATGCTATTTTGTCCAATGTACTGCCATCTTGTCTCGTCCTGTGCCGTCTCTTCTCATCCTGTGCCGTCTTGTCTCGTCCTGTGCCGTCTTGTCTCACCCTGTGCTGTCTTGTCTTGTCCTGTGCTGTCTTGTCTCATCGTGTGCCGTCTTGTCTCA